CGCCAAACAAAGCGTTTGTTTCCTGCCTTTCAAAAATTATTGTGTTAATTGTAAAATGTCTCCTCAAAGGCTTATGTAAACAATGATTGTGCCATAATATGAAATGCCATTGCTATAATCTAATAAAAAAAGCTGTATTATTATAGAATGAGCTCCATCACCGGCAAGGGAAACCATATTGTTTTGGAGGAGGAATATTATTCTGATTTATATAAACGCAAATTTAAAGTTCAAAAATTTTCTCAATGATTAAAAAAAAAGTAAGTTAATATTAAACATATAATAGAAAATATTATATTAATATAATAACACGACACCTAATAATATATATCATGCTTGAGTTGTTCTTGGTTGGTTGTTTAATTATATCAAAATTCTTGAAATTATATTTCGTCCTCGTCTCGTAAATAAGATTAAACGTAGTTTCCAAACTCCATGCCGAATACCACGAATTTCAAAGAAAAACAAAGCACCCTGTGTACCTGCGGGTCCTGCGATTCATTTTTCGTTCGCGTGCCGAATTGTAGCGTCGTTTGTTTTTAAGCGGGTGCACCGACGGTTTTATTTTATTTTATTTTTTCTCATTTGTCATGTCATGATAGTCAAGACCGACATTATAGTTCATATAGTGATAGTGACGAATATTCTTCACTTCTTTTTTGCTTATGCCAGCAAATATTGTGGCACATGTCCAGTGATGCGATGGATTAAAGGCGACCATTTATGATTCTGTCTGTTTTTGATCGTTTTTCATGGCAATAAGGATCACCCGCATCTAAAGTCTGCTTATGGGAGCAGATTTTTGCTTCACCTTTGCTTTTGGTAGTAGTTTTTTGCTTATGGAAGCAAATATGGTGACAAATGCCCAGTGATGTGACGGATAAAGGCAATTTATGATTCTGTCTGTTTTTGATCCTTTTTCATGGCAAGAAGGATCACCCGCATCTATAAACTGTTTGTGGCAGCAAATTTGATTACGGTTGCGAATTCGTCGGCTGTCCAATACTGCGATGGATAAAATATAAAATCTACATACAATATATATAAAGTACATAATGGAGAGCTAAACGACTGTGTTTGCTATAAAAAGTCTTTCATCGGTCGCGAAAGGCATCGATTTCGAGACCTCTTTGTTATACTCTTATATAAACACGCATACGTGATCTTCTGATTAAACAACCCAGAAATATCAAATTTTATGCTAGAGGATCAATGAACAGTATGTAATATGTCGCTGAGCAATATAGGAAATTTTTAAGATTTAAATTTGGAGGCAAAATTTATGAGTACCGATAAACAAATTGTTACCCTTTTACGAGCGCAAGGTGTCCTTCGGTTTTATATTTATTTATATATTTTTATATATATATTTATTTTATCTATTATTTTTTGGAAACTCTTTCGAGAAATGTGCATTAAATGTTATCACCTTTTTTGTCCTTCAACGGTTTGAACTTGTGGTAAATTATGAGAAAATTATGTTGACGGCTTCTCGAACTTGTCATTTTGGTTTTTTTCCTCTACCTGAAGATAAGAAGCAATATAAGGTAAGATAAGACAACTTAGATAAGACAAATGTAGTATACGCCATTGGGATTCGCACTAATTTAATATTTTTTCCACAGTTTGTATTATGCTCAGTTTTTAGTATGATACTTATGTATACACACATATGAAAAGTTTTTTTACATCTGCAGATTTTTTTCTAATTAATTGGTAAGATGAGGTAATCTGGGATATCATATTTAAGAGAAATATGTTTTATTTTATGAAGTATATTATTTGTATGTGGTAGTGCATTATTAAAATCAAATTTATCCATGTTATTTTCAGGGATACGATTTTCAATTGAAATTTTTTTGTTTGACTTTTGATAAAATTTCTGGTCTGGTTTATTTCTGGAGTGATTAGAATGACTTGAGGATTATATTAGAACATATGTATGAAATATAATAAAATGTTATAATAAAATTTAATAAAAAATAATAACAGGATTCCTTATGCCTCGTTTGATAGCAATTCTGTTGTATCCAAGTACAGGGTAAGAAAAAGTGCGATCGAATGTAACAGACACGAACCTATTGGGTTTGAAATGTGGTGGAGCCGGTTCAGAATACGAAGACCATCCCAGTAGTCGATCGATATTGACGGTAATACAACATGGTTAATACGAAGAATTAATCGTGAAGAACTACATCGTGAAACGCTACACGAAGAAGAAAAGTCGGACATTAGTAAAAAAATAGTAAAAAAAACTGGCTAATTAAAGAGAATTTGTTATAATCCTAGTCAACGTTTTTCAGTGCTTGCCACCAATTTTTAAGATTTTTCATTATTACTTTGTCGTATAACAAAAATTAAAACTGTAAATGCAAATTCTACAGAGGGGATTTGAATAGCTGTGTGTATTTTTTCAACCTTTTTGGCGAAAATGACGTGAGAAAAATAATTTTTCAAAGTCTGAAACTGTATTGTTAGTAGTTGTTTTACAGTAATTAACTTAAATCATATTTTATAAGTAGTATCTTTGTGCGAAAGTTTATTTAATAATAATAATAATAATAATAATATCTTTATATTATAATACATAAAAATACAAAATATAAATTTTAAATATAAAATGGCAAAGAAAAACTAAAGAGTCAAGCACGAAAATTAAAATTTTGACAATACATGAGATCTTAAAAGTCTTTTAAATTTATTAAGAGCATAACAGTTTTCAATATGCGGTAAATTGGTAATGGTTTAGGCCCTTATTTTATATGGAGTTTTGTACATAACTAGAATACCATTCTCTTCAACTTTTTCACAAACATAGTCAGGAACACTTTAATTTTAAAAATAAATACATAGACGTTAAATATTACTTTCAATTTTACAGACAAGAAATGAAGTACACTCAAAACGCTTTGAATTGGCGTATAACTGTTACATTGTATATTTCTCATGGCCCTATTTGAACCAAAGTGTGGAACAAAATTCTGAATGGGGAGCAGCTAGGCTGTTATATAATAAGAATTTGGTGTTAATTGACAAATTTTTCCCTATTCTAGATATAAAATTAATATTTTTAAAAAATGCATTAATTGTGTAATCGACATATAAAACGTCAAATTGGAATCAAATATTTAATTTCGTTTTCATGAATTAAATTTTTGTTGTTAATATCAATGTTTATATCAAAATTTAATTTATTCAGTCGTTTACAAAAGTTTGACCGTGTTTTATTGCACAGCCATTCAAAAGCATACCTGCCGATCGCGAGCTACCGGTAGCTTCGGATTCAATTCTGGTAGCTCTCACAACGATTTCAATTTTAAAAATTAGAAAGTTTTGGCAGTATGAAACTCCACACTGGCAAATGGTTAGCAAAATGAGGTATTATGTATGTAAATACAGGAGATTTACACAAAAGTAAAACAACGAAAAGCTGAAGAAAGAAGGAAGAAAAAGGAAAGTGAAACAAGCATCCATGTTATCCAAATAAGGAGTAGAACATATTCATTAGCATTAATGTATTTTTTTTTTGATGGTAGAAATCAAACATGCTGCAATATAAAGAGATACATTTTACGAAATACAACTTAAATTCTTTTAAATAGTAATCACAACAGGATGCAACTTTTTGAAAACTTAGTATTTTGGGAATAATATTCGGTGTCGCATAGCGTGAATAATCCTGCATATAAATTAAATAAGCTTAAAATATAAATTGATTTTTAAATAAATCGGAAATAACGCAGCAGATTTCATACTTCATTTCATTTTCCGTATGATACTGTATATATGAATGCACACTTATTGTCCAGATGGTTAGTACTTTTCCTGCCGAGTCCGCTATTGTATTGTAGTACTCATACCCCGACAAAACCAAATTGATGGTTGAACATCACTTAGAAAATTAAAGAGACGACTATTGAGGTACTTCAAAAATTTTGCCAAAATTTGATATTATATACAGGGAGTTTTCTAATTGAATGTCAATAATTAAGGAGGGGACTTTTGGGCGCATTTCAAAAAGAAAGCTTCATATGAACATATGTCCTAAACATCTTAACTTTTGAGATACACTAGTAGCGGGCGTAAGGAATTTCACATGTCTATTTTGATAGACATTGATGGAAGACCACTGATATCTCTTGAAATAAAAATTATTCTTACAATATCCAACTATTTAAAAAAAAATAATTTCTTAATTTTTTCAATCCGATGTACGGTTTCCGCTTAAAAAAATAGAAACCTCTTCTCTGCATGGTCATAACAATATCGTTAATATGATAGCATGCAGAGAAATTAGCTTTTATTTTTAAGTGAAAACTGTGAGATGGAGTATAAAAATTAAAATATCAAATCATGCAGAAAAGAGGTTTTTATTTTTTTAAGCGAAAACCGTACATCGGATTGAAAAAGTGAAGAAATTATATTTCTTTAGAACTGGTTGCAGATTGTAATAATAATTTTTATTTTAAGAGATATCAGTGGTCTTCTATCATTGTCTACCAAAATAGACATGTGAAATTCCGTACGCCCGCCACTAGTGTATTTAAAAAAAATTGTGGTACACTAACTAATGCCTCTTGATATGTAGTATATGTGTGCCAAATTTCATTAAAATATATAAAGTGGTATTACAGATATTAAAAAAATATATTTAATTTTTGAAAACTTTACCACCTTTTATCTCAAAAGTTATGAGGTTTAGGACATATGTTCATATGAAGTTTTCTTTTTAAATTATTAGAAATTATTAGAAGGCACCCTACATAGGTGATATTATAGACGTTTTAAACTGGTAGAAGACATGAACAGACTCCAATATCATTCCAATTGTATTAAATTCTATTAAATCAAATTAATTACATTTTCTCTACCGACCAACAAAATATTTACACACAACAATAAACTGTTTCATCCTCCAAAAGTTTAAAAAAATGAGCACAGTTGAGTCAAACAAGAGTGATAATTTTTCCACAAATTCACAAATTAATAACACAACTTACCACAACGGGACCCCCTTCCAGACGCCCAGATGTAGCCAATGTTGCTCCAAACCACTGCATAGATTTGTGGTCTAATTCTTTGTTTCCGATATACTGGTTTCCTGCAAGACAAAGCAAATTGTTCAGAAACAATTTCCTTTTATTTTTATTAAAAAAATTTTTAATAATAAATTGTTTTTTAAACCACTGTTCTTTCATCCAGTGAACTATTCATCAAAATATATACTACTTAAATTCCGCAAGATGGAAGTTACGTAGAAAATGTATTGTAATTAGTAATAAGTTCTATTTACTTTTATTACTTATTGATTATATATGGAATTTAAGTAATCAATGTTAAAAAAATAGATTATTAGATAACTTCTAAACCAACAACTTTTGGAATAAAAGCTACATATATGAAATTATCAAGAATTAAATCCCAAAGCCAATAAAAGTGCTAAACACAGGGTGTTCCATTTAAAAAAATATTTTTTTTTTATTTGAAAAAAATTTTGATGGTCATTTGTGACCAAATGAAATACTGACAAATTCCCTGGATCCATAATAAAAATTCCCAATTTTAGTGTGTAGAAAAATTCATTTTTCCAAGGACCTGTTTTTCCGCAAAAAATGGAACAAAGAGATAATGCATATGAACTCTATAAAAACAATCCAAATAATAACGATTTAAAAATAAATATCGAGAATTAAAAAAATAAAATAAATAATTGATAAAAACTCTTAAAAACCTACACGTTCAAAGTAAATGGCAAAAAGCGGAAAATGAATCAAGAAAACAATGGTATGTTATCAATTAATTAATTATCTATAAAAAAGGTAAAAACAAACATAATATAATTACAAGTAATGAAAATCTCATTGAGAATGCACAAAATAAATACTTTACAGGTATAGGGTTAGGTATTGCTAAAGAAATTAAGGATGCGAAAATTCCTCTAAGCACAGTGTTAACGTTTAACGAAGTGTCATGTGAAAATAATATATTTTTGGAACCAACTAGTGAAACCGAGATTGCAAATATTATAAAAAACTTTAAGAAAACTGCCGCACCAGGACACGATGATGTAACACATCAGGATCTTGTCAACCTTAATAAATATATTGTATCTGTCTTCGTATTATTAATTAATAATATATTGGTTACTTGAAAATTTCCAGAGGAACTAAAAATTGTTAAATTATGCTCAATATATAACTCAGGGTCGAGGACGTCGAGGGGCAATTGCAGGCCAATATCACTCATAAGTACTTTTTCAAAAATAATCGAAACTTTTTTGAAGGCTGGAGTGACGTGTTTTTAGACTTTGACCAGTTTCAGTAGGGATTTACGTCTAATAGTAGTACACTGAATGAACATAGTGAACGTAATATCAAATAGTCTTGATCAGGGAAGGGTAGTTTTCGCAGTATTCGTGGACTTAAGAAAAGTCTTCAATGTTGTCGATCATAGTCTGCTTATCGATAAGATTGAATAAATGGGACATAGAGGGAATATGTCAAACCTAATTAGAATATACTTAACCAACCACAGACAATATGTAGCTCTAAAGGATTGCAGTAGCAGAGTTTTGTTTAATAATTGTAGGGTTCCTCAGGGTTCCGTCCTTTGGCCCCTCTTGTATAAGATGTATGTCGTGAGTCTGCGCTTTGCTGGATTGCAAGCAAATATTATGCATTTGCAGCTGACATGGTCTTAGTTGATACATCAAAAAACTCAGAAGTATTGGCAAATATAGCAAACAATGACTTAAAAGGATACTAGAACTGACTATTAATTAACAAATTAAAAATAAACATTGAAAAAACTAAGTATATTTTATTTAAACAAAAAATAATAACTTTAATATTAAGATAAATGATTCTACTTTGGAAAGAGTTGATAAAATATAATATTTAGGGCTTAGTCATATAAATAACAAAAGATGCCCTTATGCCATATCCCCATCCCCATGTCAATGAAATACACTCACACAACTTAAGAAATCACACTGAGATACAGTTACGGAATGCCAGAACAAATAAAGGAATATTTGTGAAAAGTGAGACTTCTTTTTTATGCAATGAAATAATACATTTAATTAGATTCTTCCAAGGAACCAATTATATTACATTATTATTAGGTAATATAATACTTCGATTGAATAAGAAGAAAGAGATGGAAAATAAAAATCAAAATAAATAATAACTAAATTTCAGATATTCTGAAAATTATATATTTTTACATGACAATTGTTTCGACAACATGTAATAAATGTAATAAAACTAAAAACAATATTGCTTCGCAATGCTATCTCCCTAATGATTGACATTTGAACCAAGGTTCACATAATAAACTGCCCTTTATTTTAAACAAGTAATCACCTCCGGAAGTTTTTCGCATTTGTTTTGAAATACTCTGTATATTTTTTATATTAATTTTGAAATCAACAAAGAACTCGCTATCTCCTAAGTCATTTGCAACGAATTTATTAAAATGTATAAAATCCGCAACAATAAATAATAAAGCTGGCACGTTTTCTCAGACTGGACAACAAATTTAATTCTTGTTCAATAAAATATTCATTACTATATATAGAGTAAGCGTAGTGGAAGCTTCAGAAAACAATGAGCTACTAAATATTATTTTGCCGCTTAACATGTTCAGGAGAGACCGTCGGGAATATAAAATGACTAAAACGTGATACTTGAATAGGACATAAAGAAGAGGCCACCATAAAAGAATTGTATTATACATTGAACTTTCCTTGGGAATCTGCACCTCTTTTTCTGTGATACGCAAGCAACTGATAACACAGACCAACAAAGATATCATGATTTGCAATTTTTCATCTTTTTGGAGTTATGGGGACTAAACAAATTGGAAAACATTGTTTTTTTGTTTCAATCACGCAACATTTTGAATTATTTTTTAGATGCCATATATATTATTTCAAAAATTACATTACCATTCGAAGAATTGAATTAACAGAATATTAGCCAGGAATCCTCGAAAGTAAAACATAGTTTTTGGTTAGTTCCCAATTCCCAAATATGATAGTGGCGGCATGTCTTGAAGTAATTGAGTTTGTTTTAGGCAGTGAAGTTGTGAGCATTGTTATAAATGACTTTGTAAAAATGTTCCAGATACGTTTAGCTATGTGTTTGATTCTTTTGTGGTGAAGATATTCGGATGTAAAATTAATTAATTAATTAAATCCAGACAAATAGAGAGCATGACTATAAGGTCATTGTCCGCGTTCAAGAATCGATAGGGCATATTGAAAATTTACCTTAACCGTTACTCTCAATGCAGCGTTTCTGTATGCCGGGTTTTTCATTTTCATTCCATAAACCGGTCTAACTTAGACAATATCTTTTATTTCTTAAAAACGGTATAGAGATAGGAACACGTATAATCATTTCGTAGATACTATTTACAAAACTTCTAGATTCCTCCTGCGCTACTGTAAGACTTTTTATAAAACTTCTGGATTCCATCTGCATCGGTTGTCGTTAAATCGAACTTGCAGGCGTTTCGCCAATCATGCTGTTGGCTTTTTGGGAGCCTAATTAAAACTGGCTCACATTCTACTCTGTACCTGCTTATATATTTTTTGAGTTGAGAGGATCTAAATAAAGGGGCATAAACATCGTCTCGAATGACTGATTCGCATATTGGTGACAGGTAAAGACCTGAGTCACGGTTGTGATTGTTTGGTTCCTTATACATTTCTACATATTCTCGGATTTTTCGTTTGTAGAAGAATTGATTACATGAAAGAATTTTAGTTTTATCGAATACAATTTTATGTAAGGTTGCGTGATTATATTCGGCAATTGCCAATGCCTGTGGAACTTTCTTTCAAAATTTTTGTAGTTTTATGACCTAGTCAATAGAATTGAAAAAACATGTAAGAACGCACTTAAAAAAAGATTTTTTTATAATAATAATAACAAAGGTCTTTATTTAAAATAATCAACACGTCAACAATATAAGAAACAAAACAATTTAGAAAAAGGCGAGGTTCGATTCAGTAACTTATCACTGACCTGTTTTTCCACCTAACCTACCACTTCAGGCCATGAAATATAGAGGGCAGATGTGTCAAGTATGAAAAAGTATCATACACTATTTAATCTTTAATCTTACGGGGATGAAAAATATCCGTTAGACAATATCGATTATTTGAACTGATATCTATTTTTATCTATAATTATTATTATATTTAATTTACTTGATAATTCATGGGGAAATTTGGTTGTTACAAAAGAAAATGACCGTTTGTAGAGCTCAGTCGGGTGAAGTTGTGGTGTTCCTTTAAACGTAGCATCGATAGTATGCAGGTCACTTCTAATTTTTTTTTATCATATAAGCAAGGAGGAGATTTATTCACCAAAATCTTAGAAAATAAGCAAAGTGTACATATCTTTGCTTTTATATGAACAATACTTTTGTTATTCCATTTAAATGGTCCTTGTGTTGGTTAATAATCTATAACTTGAAGTAAGCTTTTTAAAGGTATTTAGATATGTAATTTGAAAATCGCAATTTACTGTCCAACAAAAACATTTTAGAGTATCATTGTTCTGAATTACTTCGTCATTTATAAAAATTGATTCTTTAAATATAAGTAGAAGGGAACTTTTGTCTTTCTTAAGTCCAAACAATATAAAAACGAACTTGTCAGCGTTTGGTTGCAAGCAGTGCTTTTCCGAAATATTCTGAATATTATACAAATCTTGATTCACAGCTACTAGCACCTGTGCCGATTCCTCTGAATAAAATGATAAATAAATTTGCGCGTCATCAAAATAATAATGATTGAGAGTATCAAAAGCCTTTGCTTGTTCAGGAACTTTTATGATATAAATATACAGGGCATTCCACAAAAAAAAAACGTTTTTAAGATTTATTTAGAAAAATATTCAAACGTTTTTTTACCCTACATCGCTAATTTCCCCTACTTCTTATTTCCATTAATAATGAATATAATAAAAAATAAATAATAAACATTAAAAAATAATAATGACATTGCAATCATGTTATTGCACAATTACTTCGTTAAACTTACGGATGAATATCTTCCAACTGTGTACTTATAGCTCTGACGTTCCGAGAATGCAATTGATCGATGAAAAGAAAAAGACCGTGCGACCATCTTGTTGGCTTTTCTAAAGATTCACATTCTCATTGCGAAAGTATGCGCGGTGATATAAATAAATGGGTTTTGCTCTCAGGAGCCGTTGGTCGAGCTTCACCGAAGACCATACAAAATGAAAAAAATATTTTGGCCGTTATAAGAATGGTTGTTCAGTGTACAGGGCGAAGCAAATTTAAAATAGGTAATTTCGAGGTTTTCATGTATTTTTTGTGTTTTAATGGTAATCACATACGGCTCAGAGTATCAGGTTTATCTAGCTATGAATGCTGAACTGTTTTCTTATTGAATATTTGTTAGGTTTCTTATGTTTTAGTGAAATGACGAGTTAATGCGATAATTAATTAGGCACCAATTGAAACCGGAGACAAGAGTCGTCTTAGTTATTTGCGTTGCAAATTAGACCACAAAATACACCAAAAAACTAAAAATTTTAATTTTGTTTTTAACAGTACCCTGTCTTCTAGATTAGGTTAACCGGAAAAAACATTTGTAAATTTTTGAAAACTCAAATTATGGAAAATGCTTCAGGTACCCTATTATATGGCCGAAATGTGTAAAAACGGGATTTTTGCAAATCTTGGCATTTAAAACAAAGATAAACGTTTATAATACAGACGACAGAATAAATTACAGTTCAGTATTTTAAATGTCGATGGTGCCACTTTAGAAAGGTGCAGTTCCCCCTGATATGGTTACTTTCAATACGATTGTCAATACTGCCCCGCAATATTACAAAATACCTACTTTAATACTGCTGTTAAGAGAACTCGCCATTTGTCTTTGTTTTCCATTCTGTTTCAACGTTGCAAAGACGGCATCCATAGAAGAGAATGATCGGATTGTCCAATACACATGATATCGATCCAGTTGTTGGCAGTCGCAGTGCTATTAGCTGGTCTGGATAAGTCTATGACTTATTATTTTCACAGTACAGTACATTTTTACTGTGCCTGCTCGATCTGCTTTTTTCTAATGTATGTTTTTACGATTTGTAATTTCCTCTATATTGTTTTGTTATTATGGACATTTCAAAGTTATTGAATATTATGAAAATGTAAAAATGTAAAAATTGGAAATATTTATAACCTTTGTTAATAATATGGGAGTTTCCACACTTCTTTAAGGAAGGAGAAAAATCGTGGAAATTTTTTGCGTGGAACGTTTGCTTTTTTTAAACAATCATCACATACAATTTGCCTTACTATTAGAATTATCCTCAGTATTAAGAATCCGGTATATTAAAGAAATTATTTCTAGATTATAATAAGATCTTTTAATTGGTCACTTGTTATAGGTTGTGGATCAGTGTCGTTAAAAATGTAGTTTACTGATGAAGTAATTATTGAATAAAATTCAGTTTGGTTTGATGATAATGCAATAGCTAAATTGGCTAAAAAAGAGAAGATTGAATTAAAAAAATTACAATAACAATAATGGCTAAATTATTATCGTGAGACTATGGCTTATTCTTGTCTATTTCTCAATCTTTAGTATTACTTTTGCGCAGTTAAACTAACCAAAACTAGGCACTCTTGTCCAAATAGGTGATATGTACTTATTCTATCACAATCCAAGTGCCACAATTATATTTTAAAGTTACCCAATAACAAGCTATAGGCAATTCTTAATTCCATCTTCGTAACTACAAAGAAAAATTAAAATCTAAAGGTACTAAATTTTTACAATGATTATAAAGGAAATATTCTATGAGCCTTACCTGTTCGATCGAAAGGTATTTCATCGCAAACGTCATCTCCATCTGGTCGACATCTGTAAACTACTCCACCTTTGTAAACACTTTGATCCTGCAACATTGCTTGCGCTTCTGGGGCACCGACTAGGACCCTGAAAACAATTTTTGTTTACTATGGCATATTTTTTGAATAAGATGCTACAATAAAGAAAAATTACATTGCCAAAAAAACTAATGTGACACAAATGACGAATACAATGTTTTGCTCTATAGGGTTTGACAGCAACAACAAATTTAAAATTATAATTATTAAAATTATTATTATAATTAACTTGTTTCCGTCTACAAAAATTTATCTATGAGACTAATGTAATTTTTTACCGGCTATAGCGATGCCGATTATAGTGAGCTCTTGGTTCTAGCGAACCTATTTTTTCGAATCACAAATCTGTGAAAAATACTGCAAAGGGACACAAATGGTTCACTGCCGAGCTTAGTAAAATTTGTGAAAATCTTAGGGACCTGCGTGAGATGAATACAATTTGTGAGGAAGTTCTTTTGAAACAAGAGTTAAATGAATTAAATAGTTTTATGAAAATAAATTATAAAATGCAAGAAATGTAGTATAAGGTAACAAATGAAGACGACAATCCTCCAACCTACTGGGAAAGACAAGTCTTCCTTGCGTACTGACATTAATACTCTTGATAACTACTTTATAAATATATCTAATGAAATAATCAAAAATAATCAATAAGTTACCCAGTAGTAACTATAGGAATGGATATAAATGCAGTCAAAACTGACCTTTTAAATTCGATACCTTAAAAAATAAATCTAGCTTTGATCACTTATCAATATCTTTTCTAAATTACTAAAATCACTAAAAATGTAAATGACACACTTGATTAACGAAATTTTCGAAAGTAATATATTTACTGATGTGCGTAAGTCCTTAATTTCTATACATAAAGGCGGAGAATTAACACCCAACAATTTCCGACCAATCCCTTTAGTAAAATAACGTTTCGATAGTAATTTCGATCGAAAACACTTCGAACACTCGGAGCGCGAGCATTGAAAATGCCAGTCGGAGTTCAAGAAACAAACGAATGATATCCCGGAATATATTGTCATCACATCTTTCCATCCGTGAATCAATATATATATATATATATATATATATATATATATATATATATATATATATATATATATATATATATATAAAGTAAACTTTTTTTGTTTGAAAATTCTTATATAAATTGTTAAAAAAAAAACTGGGCGGAAAATAAAAGTATTACTATTATTATTATCATCTACCTAACTCAAGATACTCAAGAGAACTTTTATTCAGAAAATATTCATATTGATATTTTTGACAACACATCTAAGTTTAAAACAATATAATGTTCCAAAATGTTTGTTAATCTTGTTGAAACTGATGGTGCTGCTAAAAAATAAACTACATGCCTAATTGGCATATGTTGTTTGTGTAATGTAATTATAGAATATAATTTTGGAGGCTAGGGATTCTCAATTATTGGTTGCTATTTTTCTCTGTCATTAAAGTGTGGTGAATCTGTAATTACAATTTTGATTTGTTTTTGATATAACTCAGTTGGATCATACTGTATACTTTGGTATATGTCTGGTTTAAGAAACTGTTTGGTTTTTGTAATATATTCTAGAGGACCAATAGGAATTGTTAAAAAAAAGTCACTGCTCAGAGCGAAAGTTAGAATTACCACCCTTGAAACTTGCATTTTTCGAACATTTTATTTTTCTTAGTTTTGGACAATTAACTGTTAAAAATTTTCAAATGGTAATGTTAACATCGTATACGTCCTTAAAATCTAATCAGTGCATTCATTTTGATTCAAATACCTCAAAAACTGGCAAGCGTTATAAATAAATTTATTATAAATATATTTCCAGCTCCTCCACCTCTACATAATGTTTCTTTTTTACTAATTTAGAAGTGACAGTTATAAACACTTATTGGGGTCCATGTTTTAAAGAAGATTTACCAAATTTATTTTTTTTATTTATTTTATTTACATGTAAGGAATTTCGAACCAATGATGTCTGCAAATTGGTGGTATAATAAGTCTAATACGTAGGAAAATTATACTTCGACTGCTAAGATGACCAAATTTACAAATATTTATTTGTATAAGAATTGTTTCATCTTCGGAGAGCCTTCCAAATTTGGATATTAGTCACATCGAGTCATGTCGTTATTAAAAAATGACTAATCAGGAAACACCCACCATATTTTCACCGAATGCGAAATCTACACAAGCGGGTATGATTTAAACAGTGACGTACACCGATATTTTTATAAAAGTCATCTTGTTTGATGAAACGATACCTATCAATTTCCGCTTCCAAAGGGAAATTTGTATAGGTTTCGATTAACTGCTCAAAATGGATGTTCATTTATATTCGTAATTGTCCTGTCACGAAATCTTTAACTGGGGATGATTGTGTTAATTGCCTTGCGGTATTGCAGCGGATGAATAGACAGATAAATAAAAAGTATTTATATATAACATTATACTTTTTACAAAACTTCTGGATTCCTCCTGCGTCGGTTTTAGCTGAGTCGAACTTGCTGACGTTTCGCCAATCATCCTGTTGGCTTCTTCAGAGCTTTACTGAAACTGGCTCGCATTTAAGTCTGTAGCTGTTTATGCATTGTTTGAGGGGGGCGGAGGTAAATGAGGGGCATGAACGCAAGTTTTGTAAAATGTAATAAGCCTTTGAATTATACAGGATGTTCCATAAATAATGGTTCACTAAAACTTTGGATAGTGATACATGCAATTTTTTGCACTTTTATTAACATTACCACTTTTATCATCGAGCATTGTGGTTCCAAAAATTGACAAAATCCGTCAAAATCAATAGCAATAAATGAACTCGGTTATTGTTATTATTATAACATAATGTTAGCGCACAGCAGTGTTGGGCAAATTTTGGTTTATATTTAAAAAAATATAAAAAAACAATTTTTTTTTAATCATGATTTTTTTTATTTTAATTGATGTTTTTTTTTAATTTCCATAACAATATGTATTTCGCGTTTTCTTTGTAGCAATTGAAAAAAAAATTGAAGCGACTATAAACAACATAGTACAACATACACGCTAAGTATTCGTCCGAGCGCGCGTCTTGCAAAAAAATCTCTGACGCAACCTGTTTTTTCTCCGATCTATAAATTGTGGCTGTCCCGTACGTAGTTGGTGGTTTGTGAAAGGAGTGAAAACTAGAGCACTTGGTGAAAACATTGAAATGACTGAAAGAAAATAAAATAGCATATGGCAGTTTAACATTAAATCAACAAATCCAAATAAATCTGGGTCTAGAGCGATTTATAAAATCCGCAAGAAAGAAATTCAAGAGATAGTTCAAACACTTAAAGCACACCATGATGTTTGTAATGATAAGCAGCAAGAAACCAATACAGGTGGGTAAATAATATTTTCTTTTATTATTACTCATTTCATTTTTATTTTACTTTTCATCTCGTAAAAGCTAGAAGTATGGTATTGACAAAAACGTCATGTCCTTTTTGTCTTTTCTTCCCAAAATTTAAATTCGTCTATATTTTATTTATATTAACGTTTATAATTTTTAGATACTTACTTATTTTTATTTTTTACGACACATAAAAAACGCATTTCGTATTATATCGTATAAATTATTTATCGGAGGAAAGAATGTACACGATTTTCAACATATTAAATAAAAAGTTAACAGTATAAATTTAATATAAAAATTTGTGCATATTTGGTTTATCATTTATATCACAATGGTAAAAATTTATAAATTATGTTTTTAATGGTTTTATTTTCTTTTGAGGCACTCGAATGTCGCTTGATATTTCTGTAGGTCTTACGACTACATCGGCTGCCTCGAGTTCCACGACACTCACTACAGATTTGTGAAGCCTTTGGAATTCTCCGCAAAGTCCAAACAAATACTTTTGGCTTCTTCAGAGCTTAAATGAAACTAAGGAAGCCAACAGAATGATTGGCAAAACGTTAGCTAGTCTCAGTCAACAAAAACCGGCGCAGAAAGAATCCAGAAGTTTTATATAAATAAAAAGAAATCTAATTTGAGTAGTTTCGAAATGCAAACATCAGCAACTGAAAAAGAAAAGATTGACAAAGATGCAAGAGTGCTTCTTTACGAAACTATTGAAACTTACGCGTTATTGGACTGAAGTAGTTGGTGACCTAATTTCTTCATGTAAATCACAATATGACTGAGAGGTAAAATATTTTGTGACAGAAAACGCAGCAAATATGACCCTCATGAGAAAAGCTTTGGAGGAAAAGTTATAACTTATGAGTGCTCTGCATATATTTTGAATTTAATGTGGATAGATTTACAAATACCAGACGTCAAAGAACATGTAGTTCAAATTGTTAAGTATTTTCGCTATAACCATCTAGAGAGAGCGAATTTCAGTCAAGTAGGAGGCAACGCTTTAGTCCTTCCAAGTGATTGTTTAAAGCTATACGTCACTCACTTAAAAATCTGTGAGAAAAACACAAACAAAATTGATTCGACCATTTACCAAAAGGTGTCAAATATTGGGCTTAAACATGCAACACATTGAATGTGTTGCATATTGAATATTTAAGTATTTTAAAACCAACATTAGTTTTTCTTGATATTTTGCAGAGACAAACGCTATTATCTCAAATACTGTAGAGCACTGAAAACATTTACAAAATATCTTCGAGAATTTTCTTGAATTACAACTTACAATTTGTTGAAACTGTACAACGAAAATGTGTTGTTGTTTAATTTACTGTTACTGTGTTGTGTTTGACTTTATTTGGGATAATATTTTTGCGTTGTGCTTTTTGTGTGTATTTCAATTAAAAAAGATTTTAAAAAATAGAAGTTTGATCATGATTTTAATCGTGATTTCCATCACTTAATTAAAATCAGCCCAATCCTGGCGTGGAGTGAATATCAGGGGAAAAAAAAAATATAACACCAACGTATAAATTCAAGTGGTGATTTTGTTCTTAAGCCTAAAGGAGTGATAAGGTGAAGTTAATCAATTTGATATAATAAATCTAACAAACACTGTTTCTGTCGATTACATCTTAAACGTCGAGAAATATTAAGA